CGAAGCAGGAGAATTGCTTGAACCCTGGGAGGTGGAGGTTGTAGTGAGCTAAGATCGCACCACTGCACTCCAGCCTGGGTGACAAAGCAAGATTCTGTCTCAAAACAAACAAACAAGCAGATGGTGAATTAAGTAAACCTAACCAGAATGTGACCCTGTCCTAGCACAGGAGTGTAATTCTGAATTACCAGCCGGGATGCTGGCAACTCCCATTAAGGATTGCTTTGTCAATAGAAAAACAGGGAGAAGCCTTGAGCAGCAGGACAAAGGTCACTTTGCAGGGCAACAGTTAGCAGTACCACGACTTCTCATTACAGATGCCTGAGTTCAACATAGATTCCAAGGTAAACAGAAGCCAGGCCTCAACACTGTAGTGAGGAGACCCTGCAAGCCAGGGCAAGAACAGGTGACTGCTCTCCTCTCACAGCTGGTCAGCATCCTGGGGCCCTACCGCATGCCAGGTACTCTGCAGGGTGCCTCTCAAGAATCAGTCAGTGAGGGGCCGGGCGCGGTGGCTCAAGCTTGTAATCCCAGCACTTTGGGAGGCCGAGGCGGGTGGATCACGAGGTCGAGATCGAGACCATCCTGGTCAACATGGTGAAACCCCGTCTCTACTAAAAATACAAAAAATTAGCTGGGCATGGTGGCGCGTGCCTGTAATCCCAGCTACTCAGGAGGCTGAGGCAGGAGAATTGCCTGAACCCGGGAGGCGGAGGTTGCGGTGAGCCGAGATCGCGCCATTGCACTCCAGCCTGGGTAACAAGAGCGAAACTCCGTCTCAAAAAAGAATCAGTCAGTGAGGGAAAAACAAGAACTTCAGAGATGAAGCAGTTAGCTCCCAAAAGATGCTCAGGTGCATTATGAAGCCATTCCATTCGTTAACAGGTGCTAACGGAGGCCCTGACAGGCTAACGGTGTGATGGGGTGAAGTACAAATGCCAACAAATGCATCTGTCCAGCCCACCAGCCGGGTAATCCAGTCCTGCCACTAACCTCCAGAACACGCTACGGGCGAGAACAGAGGCCAGACCAGCTGGGCTCTCAGTGCTCTTATGCACTGGCCCCTGCAGGCACTGGTGAACACGGCAGGCCTCTGCCTCTAGCCTGGCCCAGCCGAACGTTCTCCTTCCCCCAGACACCCCTGTAGTACTAGGGCTGGAACTCCTGGTCCACATTGAGGATGCTGGCTGTTTTAAAATGTTATCGAGTTTATTTTAAGTCGTACTCTGCCAGTAGAAGTGAAAAGACTTCTGGTTTACGGCCACACCACATGGGCACAATGTGGACAGCGGCACAGGGCTGGGGCCAGGTCACGCGACAGACTGCCAAGGTGTGCGCTCCACAGCCTGTGTGGGCTGTGCCCCAGCCTGCCCTCCCGAAGAACCTTCTGGATCTGGCAAGCTCAGACTGAGGACTGAGATTGTTCTCTTTGTGGTCCTACTTTCCAAAGCTTGGGCATTCAAGAAACAGCCCCAAAATACTGCCTTTGAAGGGGCCGTTTGGGAACCCGACAACCTGGCAGGGCCCTGTACTGCAGCCCAGCCCTCCAAATGCCACAGCAGGGTGGGGACAGGCAGGCCAACACCATGCTCCTAGCCTACAAGCACTGCAATGAAACACAGCCTTCCTCTCCTCCCGGTCTCAAACACCTGAAAGCACAGAAGTGACAGGTGGAAAACAACCCAAAAGCCAGGCTCAGGGCAAGGTGAAGCCCACCTGAAGGAATACCAAAGTGACAGCAGTAGGAATGGTTTTAACTATGCTCATGTGAGAATACACACGACACGCACAGGTCAAGACAAAGATCCCGTCCCTCAATTCGTGTTAACTGGTTGCCCAAACCAACTATGGTGGAGATGATCTCATGATCTTCAGATCAGCCATCTTGACTCTAACTGCTGCTCTGCTCAGACCCACACTTCCTCCAGCCTGCCTTACTCTGCGTAATGTGACCACCTCATGCTTTATTTCCTTGGGGCGGGGGGAGGTCGTCCAAAAGGACCGCAATGTGGGCCAGGAGCCAATGCTGATGGAAAAAAAAAAAAAAACAGCTGTGCCCAACCCCACTCAAGTAACTGGACATGTACCCTGATGGATGGTTGTCTGAGGGCTCCAAGCCCAGGGCGCCAGAGTCACAGTCACCAGAAATCTCTAATCCCCTAATGGTTTCCAGCATGACTGCACGCCCAGCAGGAGGCGAGGCCTGGAGGGTGCAACCATGAGTGAGCAGACAGCCTACCACCTTCTACCTTTGTGAACGACCTGGTGACAACCACACCAGGATTTGTCTGAATCTATCTATGGAAAGCACAAAGTTGTTTTGACAAGGTCTCAGACTGCAGTGGTGTGACCTTGGCTCACTGCAACCTGCACCTCTCAGATTCAAGTGAATCTCACAGCTCAGACTCCTGAGTAGCTGGGATTACAGGTGACCGCCACCATACCCAGCTAATTTCTGTATTTTTAGTAGAGAAGTTGTTTTGCCATGTTGGCCAGGCTGCTGTTGAACTACTGACCCCAAGTGATCCGCCAACCTGGACTCCCAAAGTGCTGGGATTACAGGTATGAGCCACTGAGCCTAGCCTAAAATACTTCTTTTTGATGCCTGCCTAAGCGTGGTTAATGGACCGGCTTTGCAGTGTAACTCAGACTGTGGAGTTAAAACTTTTGCAAAAATCTATCATTTTATAAATAAGCCAAATGCCTTCCATTTACCAAGCACTCTGACTTCCAAAACACTGCCAAGAACACATCCAGCTGACCACCTGGGTATAAATGTTTAGTCAAACCCAAACGTCTAAAGCCTGTTTTACTCAGCAGGCCGCTAAGACATATGTACAGGTTCAAAAGCAACAATATGGCATGTGACAGGGTTACCCAGCAGTTTAACCAGGCACCCAAAGTATGAGCCACCCAAATGTATGGGTTCAGCTTAACGCTGTCAGCCCACCGGGTCCCAAGTCCTCTCTCAGGTGAAAAGTGGGAAGGGTATGAGATGTGGGGACTGTTCACATGCGGGTTAATAAAAAGTATAACCAGAGACATTACTGACATCCCCTATAGGATTCCCGACCCTGGCTGTGCCCCAGCCAAACACACCCCAGAGCTGGGGCTGCTGGAACAGAGAACAGCTCCCCTCAAAGGTCTGCAGCACACTGCCCACAAGGCTACACATCCTCAAGTTCAGGGGGTCTTGGAATAACTTGTGTATTGCACAATCCCACTGACAAGTGAGAAAAATTAAGTTACTTTAAAATTATGTACAAACTTGGGCCGGGCGTGGTGGCTCATGCCTGTAATCCCAGCACTCTGGGAGGCCAAGGGGTAGGGGACGGGAATCACCTGAGGTCGGGAGTTTGAGATCAGCCTGACCAACATAGAGAAACCCTGTCTCTACTAAAAATAGAAAATTAGCCAGGCGTGGTGGCACGCGCCTGTAATCCCAGCTACTCGGGAGGCTGAGGCAGAGAATCGCTTGAACCCTGGAAGTGGAGGTTGCAGTGAGCTGAGATCGTGCCATGGCACCTGGGCAACAAGAACAAAACTCCATCCCCCCAAAAAATTTTTTTTTACAAACTTGAAGATGTCAGCCAATCTTTCATTACACTTGTGCCCACAGGCATATTCTTCTACTGTAAATACGACAACCCAGAAGGTTGGAATCCCATTTTTTGGGGAAAATGCTGAAGGACAGCTCAGGAGTACCACCACTTCGTGGGCCTCTCCCTTTGCCAGCACCTTGACCCTGCGGGGCTTTCTCCGCAGTCACCGAAACTTAACCCTTGCCCACCTGCGCTCCGTCATCGCTGCAAGGCCTGGGGTCTCAGCGCAGAGAGAACCCCCCGCGCTCAGCGACAGGGCGGCCCGAGGCGGGGGGGACAAGCCCCGCGCCCGGCCAGGCCACTCCCCCAGCTCCGCACGGCAGTGGGGCTTTCTGACATTTTTCCCCACGCGAGCAAGACGCAGGGGCAGCCTCCGACTGGGGAGCCGGACATCCTCGGACAGGGCCGCGAGGGCAGGAGCGTGGCCTTTGTTTACCGAGGTGACCTTAGGCGCGGAGGCAGCCGCCGCCCGCCCCGCCCCTCCCACGGCCCCCGTCACGCCCCGCCCCCCGGGCCCGCCTCCCGCGCCCCACCCAGCCCTTCCCGCGGCCGCTCCCCCGCGACCCTGCCCCTGCCCCGCTGCGCACCCCCGGCCCCTGCCGAGCCCCTGCCCCGCCCCCGCGCCCCCGCCCTCCCCTCTCCAGACCCTGCCCCCTCCCCCGGCCCTGCTCCCCCCGCCCCCCCGGCCCTGCCCCTCCCCCACGTCCGCTGCCCACCGCCCTCCCCATCCCCGGCCGCGCGGGGCCCGTGGCCGTTGGGCTCCAGCGACGAGCCGGCGGCGGGGCTTGCGCGCAGCCCCCGCGGGGGCCGCCGCTTCCTCCCGCGGTCGCGCTTGGCCTCGGTGGCCGCGGGGCCCGGGTCCTCGGCCGGCGGGCGGGGGCGGCGGGGCCTCACCGAGATAGATGTCTCCGAAGGAGCCGCTGCCGATCTTCCGGCCCAGCCGGTACCTGTTCCCGACTCTCAGCTCCATGGCGGCGGCGGCCCGGTTCGCTCCTGCCCTCCCGGCCGCTTCCTGGGTCTGAGCTCCGGGAGGCGGCGCCGCTGCTGCCGCTACTGCGGGTCCGGCTGCCGGCTCCGCCCCCCTCACGGCCCCGCTTTCACCATCGCTTTCCCGTCGCCCCGCCGCTCCCAGCGCCTCAATACGGGGCGGATGGGACAGTCCAAGCGCCGCTGCCTCTGCTCCGGCCCCTGCCGGCCCCGCTTGCCCTCTCCCCGCCGCGGATGGACTCGGATCTTCCGGGCCCAAATCCCCCTTCAGCTGCCTAAAGGAGCCGCCGCCATCGCGCTGTGACGTCACTTCCCCTAGCAACCCCCGGCAGGGCGGGGCCGCGGGGCTCGGGGGCGGGGCTCGGGGCTCGGGGGCGGGGCCGCGGGGCTCGGGGGGCGGGGCCGAGCGGGGCGAGCGCTCCGGGCCTCCTCCCGACCCTGAACCGTCTCGCGGGGCCCCAGCCCCTCTGCCCGCCCGTTACCCCGGGACCTCGGGCGCCAGCCCCTTCCCCGTGCAGGCTCTCACTGGGGCTTTTCGTGTGTCCCCCGAGATTTCGGGAGAGCCAGGTGAGTTCCTGGAGACAGGTGGTGCCCTTTGCAGGAGGGAACAGGTGGCTGAGACCCGGCCCAGGGGACACAGGTGAGACCTTCTCACTGGGCTGCCCGCGTGGGGCCTCCCAGGACGTCAGCGGCTGCGGCTTTGCCTCCTGACACCTGAGACCAGAGACAGAGAGGCCCGCACCCTGGGAGGTCCTGACGTCCAGTCTGAAGGTTGAGGGCGAGGCCACCACCTTTCACAAAATGAGGCCAGACCACCTGCCTCCCTGCAGTCCCTGCGGCCTGGAGACAGGTCGGGGCCTTTGATCCCCATCACTGGAAGCCCCCCAGGCTGCGGTGCACAGGGACCATGAAGAACCAGTCCCCGTGGCCCCATGTCCGCCTGTCTCGACCTGTCCCATCCTTGCTGAAACTCAAGAAGGTAAAACAGGTGAATGCGGGCATTAGCAGACCAAGGCTCTGGTGTGGGCACCGCAGCCTAAGTGAGACAGAAGGCTCAGCCGGCATCTGGGTCACTGCAGAAGAGGAAAGCAGCCCCCGAGAGCCCTGCAGTGGCACCCACCAGTCTCCATCCCCGTCTCTCCGCTCCACCCCTCAGCTCCCGTGGTGCACTGGAGGTCAGGTCGGGGAGGCAGGTGTCCATTCCTGAAGTTACACAGCAGGGCCTGGGGCAGGAGATGCAGTCAGCCATCTGCACTAACCATCAATCACTAACGAGGGACAGGCAGTCGGAGCTGCCCAGTTTCTGAGTTACAGAAGCGGGTGGGGAGGGGTGCCCCAGACTGGTAAAAATGACCTTGTTGGCAGAATCACTCATGGTTTTTCTGTTGATGAACAGAGCCCAACTCACCCACAGGTGACTGTGGTCCTTGTGCTCCTTCCTCCTGGGGAGTCCTGCCCTTGCTGACCAGGGGCACCTGCCCACCTGTCAGCTGCTCCTCCCCCCGGCTGGTTCCCCTGGGTTCTGATGGCCCCAACATTTCTAGCTCTTCTCATCCATGGTGCCCCAAGCTTCATGCAGCTGCAGCAGGTTCGGTGCCCATCTTCCTGGCTTTTGTGTGTTTGTGTCTCGACTCTAAAACCTGTGCACATGGACAGGGCTGTGGTGTAGTGGGGATGGTAGCAGCCCTGGGAATGTGGGGCGGAGTGAGGTGAGGCAGGCTGATCACTGTGGCTCCCCTACCACCAGCCGCAGCCCCAACAAACTGACAAAGGAAGAGGACAGCGGTGCCCTGGAGCCCCTGGGACAGAGAGAGGAGGGCGAAACAGGGGTGGAGCCCAGCGAATGACACCACCCCTTCTGAGAAGACACGGACAGGACATCCTGCAGCCAGGGCCCAGGTTCTGAGCTAGAAAACTGTCAGCAGGGGCTGAAGCCAAGGACAGTCATTGCCAAGGAACAGCCTGCGTCACAGAGGAGACGCTTGCACAGATGCAGTGACCAGGGAAGGATGAGGGCTGGTGACCACGGGGAGCAGGTATGTGAGCACAGTCTCCAGGTGTGCTCTGAGAGGTGGTTTGATGATACTAGGACATCTCTCAGAGTAGAAGGATGTCCCGACCTACTGACTGGGAGGCCCCCTGAGCTCCCGGCATGACATATGCAGGAAGGCCCACGCCCAGGCCCCTCCTGATAGGTGGGTAACACCCCCCATGGGCACCAAGGAAGGAGAACTGTTCAGACCCCAGGCACAACCAGTGCCTGAAGAATATCTTAGTTTGTAGTGTTATTACTCACCTGTTTCCTTTATATAATCCTTCACATATAATCATATAGTAGTTTATAGAATTAGTGCCTGAAGTATAACTTACTGCTTATATATATCTAGCTTACATAATCATACTTAGTACTTACACCTAGCATACTTAGTTCTGTATAATCTTTCTATATAATCATCTAGGTATTGTAGTCAGAGCTGTACTGACACATTCAGTGCTGATTTATAGAATCCTCCCATATAACCACATAGACGTCTGTAGTAGGAGGAATGCCTGGAGCAGTCACAGACAGAAGCAGTACATGGGAAAACAGCCGGACCAGGACGAGAACCCAAGACCCAGGCGGCGGCAGCCCTGCCTGAAAGGGCACACGCTGTACGGCAGGCTTGGAGCAGGAGCCTCGCCTCCTGAGAAAGGAGCTGTAGCACCTTGCATCCAGTTCCTGTGGAAAGTCGGCCTCAGGCCTGAGATCCTGGAAGTAACCGCGGGAGAAGAACCCTCTGGTGTGACCAGTCACGGCGGCCGGACACCCTGTCAGTCTTTTCTCACTCTGTGCTAGCTCAATCATCCTCCCATAAATATCTTAAGAGAAGAGCACAAGTCTTCAGCTCCCACTGCACTGGCTTACAGCATCCTTCTATTGGAAACCCTTTGAAGTCTCCAGTCCCCAGATAAGAAGTGTGGCCCACGACACCTGCTGCACACAGCCACCTCCTTGCCTCGGTGACCTAATGGGGGTGGACCCCTTTTTGTACACGACCCTCTACTACTGCGCATAGCATGGCCCCCTACTGCACACAGCCCACCTCTCTGCCCAGGTGACGTCATGGGTTGGCCCCCTCGCTTGTAACTCACGTGATTATGTATGCCCTATCACGAAGCCTACAGAGGATGACCTCACGCACAACCCTGCCCTCTGCTTGTACCTAATAAACACAGATGCTCTTGGGCATTTGGGGGCCGCTGCTGAGCTCCACTCACAGGTGGTGTGGCCCTCCAAGTCCAGATGCTCTTCACCACTTCTTCAGTGTCCTGTCTCTTTACCTCCTGGATCCTGTGCCTCAGCACAGCATAAGGGACACCCGCGACCCTGTGGGGCCTCGACAGCCCTATACTGACAGAACTCATGAACACCACAGTGTCTTAGCTCATTTAGTGTTGCTATCAGGAAATACCTGAGGCTGGGCAATTTGTAAAGAATCATGATGTAGTTTGTGTATGTGTCCCCTCTAAACCCCATGTTGAACTGTAAACCCCAAGGTTGGAGGTGGGGTGAGGGGTGACTGGATCATGGGGGTGGATTTCCCATGAATGCTGAGCACCACCCCTTGGTGCTGTCCTTGAGATAGTTCTCCCGAGCTCTGGTGTGGGGCGTCGCGCGCTCTCTCTCGATCCTGCTCTGCCCACATAGTGTGCCAGCTCCCCCATTGCCTTCTGCCATGATCAGAAGCTTCTGGAGGCCTCCCCAGAAGCCGAGCAGATGCCAGAACCATGCTTCCTGTAAAGCCTGCAGAACCACAAGCCAAGTAAACTTCTTTTTCTTTTATAACTTATTTACTTACTTTGACATAGGGTTTCCGCTCTGTCACCCAGGCTGGAGTGTGGTGGTGTGATCTCGGCTCACTGCAACCTCTGCCTCCTGGGCTCAAGTGATCCTCCCACCTCACCCTCCTAAGTAGCTGGGACTACAGGTGTGCACCACTGTAATGGGCTAATTTTTTTGTATTTTTTGTAGAGATAGGGCCTCACTATGTTGCCCTGATAGTTTCAAACTCCTGAGCTCAGGTGATTCATCCGCCTTGGCCTCCCGAAGTTCTGGAATCACAGGCGTGAGCCACCGTGCCCGGCCCTCTTTGCTTTTAAGATGGCCCCATCCTTGCCCTTTCCCCTGGCTGGCGGCACGGAGGCTGCATGATGCCTGGCATTACTGTAAAAGACGCGAACCAGCAGGAGTTCATCAGAGCTCTGGCAGCCTTTCTCAAAAAGTCCAGGAAGCTGAAAGTCCCTGAATGGGTGGACACCGTCAAGCCAGCCAAGCACAGAGAGCTTGCTCCCTGTGATAAGAACTGGTTCTACATGTGAGCTGCTTCCCCAGTGCGGCACCTGTCCCTCCAGGGTGGTGCTGGGGTTGGCCCCATGACCACGATCTATGGGGGATGTCAGAGAAATGGCGTCATGCCCAGCCACTTCAGCAGAGGCTGCAAGAGTCTGGCCCGCCGGGTCCTCCAAGCACTGGAGAGGCTGGAAATGGTGGGAGAGGACCAAGATGCGGGCCGCAAACCGACACCTTGGAGACAGAGGGATCTGGACAGAATCGCCGGACAGTGGCAGCTGCCAACAAGCAGCATTGGAACCATGCTGGGTAAATAAATGGCCTAGTTTGTAAAAATAAATAAATAAAATTGCGCAGTCCTAAGTATTTTTTTTTATAGCAATGCAACCATGGCTGAACACAGCTCACGACGCTGAGGTCTCGAAAGTCACAATCGGGCACCTGCCTCTGGTGAGGCCCTCGGATGCTTCTGCACACGGTAGCAGGTCGCGGGGAGCTGGCGTGTGCGGAGACCGTGCTGGAGAGGAAGCCGGAGGAGCACGGAAGGGCGGAAATGCAGGCCTGTTTTCCTTTAACACAGAGGCTCGCTCTGTGGCCCGACCTCGGCTCACTGCAACCTCTACCTCCCTGGTTCAAGCGATCCTCCTGCCTCAGCCGCCTGCGTAGCTGGGATTACAGGTGCACACCACCACCCACCCACCCCGGGCTAATTTTTGTATTTTCAGTAGACACGGGTTTTCACCATGTTGGTCAAGCTGGTCTCAAACTCCTGCCCTTGCGATCCACCCGCCTCGGCCTCCCAAAGTGCTGGGACTACAGGCGTGAGCCACTACACGTGGCCATACAGGCCTTTTTTTTTTTTTTTTTTTTTGGAGACAGAATTTCGCTCTTGTTACCCAGGCTGGAGTGCAATGGCGCGATCTCGGCTCACCGCAACCTCCGCCTAGCTGGGCTCAGGCAATTCTCCTGCCTCAGCCTCCTGAGTAGCTGGGATTACAGGCACGTGCCACCATGCCCAGCTAATTTTTTGTATTTTGAGTAGAGACGGGGTTTCACCATGTTGACCGGAATGGTCTCGATCTCTTGACCTCGTGATCCACCCGCCTCAGCCTCCCAAAGTGCTGGGATTACAGGCTTGAGTCACCGCGCCCGGCTTCATACAGGCCTTTTTAAAAGCAGCTCTTGCTGGAACTAATAAGAGTGAAAACTCACTCACTACCAAGAGGACGGCACCAAGCCATTCATGAGGAATCCACCCGTGCCTCAAACACCTCCCATCAGGCCCCGCCTCCAACACTCAATTTCAACCTGAGGTGTGAAGGGGACCAACACCCAAACTAGCAACGGGGAGAGGAAAGTTTGTGGATACCCATTCGTAAAGAATCTGCTAACAAAGGGGAAGAATCAGGCTGGGCGCTGTGACTCACGCCTGTAATCCCAGCACTTTGGGAGGCCAAGGTGGGTGGATTGTGAGGTCAGGAGTTCGAGATCAGCCTGGCCAACATGGTGAGACCTGGGCATGGTGACGGGTGCCTGTAATCCCAGCTACCTGGGAGGCTGAGACAGGGGAATCGCTTGAACGCGGGAGGCAGGGGTTGCAGTGAGCCCAGACTGTGCCACTCACTCCAGCCCAGGCAACAAGAGCAAGACTCTATCTCAACAACACCTAAAAAACCCAAAAACCAAAGGGAAAGAATCAGACCATCATGGGGCTCCGCTGTCACCTGCCTGCATCCTCCCAAAAGCTTGTGTTAGAAATTGGCCTCCCTGGTGCAACGGGGTAGGGGTTGGGGGCTCTTTAGGGAGAGGCTCGGATCGTGAGGCCCTGCCCTAGTGAATGGCTCAGTCCCTTGTGAAAGGGCTTGATGAAGGGGGTTTGATCCCTTTTCCCATCTCTCTGCCGTGTGAGGATACCACATTCCTCCCCTCTGGAGGAGGAAGTGACAAGCTGTCATCTCAGGAGGAGACACCAGGCCCTGACCAGACACTGAACCTGCCACCACCTTGATCTTGGACTTCCCAGCCCCCAGAACTGTGAGAAATAAATTTATTCTCTACAAATACCTAGTTCATGATGTTTTGTTACAGCAGCATGAACAGACTGAGATAGGCAGCTTATACATAATTGGAAGCCTGCAGAAACGGGAGAAAAACATCTTCAGACAGCTAAGATGGCTCCCACAGACACCCCCTGCCTGGGAGGGCGAGGAAGGGCATCTGTGGGTGTAGGAGGATTCAGCGTCTAACACCCTGAGCCCAGCCAGGAGCCAGGAAGGCCTCCTAGTGAACAGCGAATGAGACAGAACCCAGAACTCAGACAGGGAGGTGAAGGGGAGGGGCGCCATGTCGAGCAGCACCCTCTGTGTGAGCCAGTGTGTGCGCACACCTGTGTGCACAAGTGTGTATGGTGTGTGTGGATGCCATGTTCGGAATGGACATGCACGTGTCTGCGTGTGCTCGCACACGTGTGAGCTGCATGTGTGTGTGTGCGTTCATGCACATGCACCACACCGGCGCACTCACATCGTGTAGTGTCGTTCACCTGTGTGCACGCACGTGTATGTGTATGTGTGTGTGTGTGCACCTGCATGCTTGCTAAAGTGTGGTGGACGGTAGATGATGATCACCTCTCTGGAACCGGGGCAAGTGAGTGTTAGACAGATTTCCAACACAGGAAGTGCTGCTGAAGGAATTCATCCACAGGCTGGCACTGAAGCCTGGAAGCTGGGGGCAGGGAGCAGTGGGGAGTGAAATCTCAAAGCTCTCATCAGAAGTGGGGAAGGCTGGATACGGTGGCTCAGGCCTGTAATGCCAGCACTTTGGAAGGCAAAGGCAGGAGTTTGAGACTAGCCTGGGCAACATAGCAAGACCTTGTCTCAAAAAAAAAAAAAGAATTTTCTTTTTTACAAGAAACTACACAGATGGCAAAACTTTAAAAAAAAAGAGATGTGACTTGACTAGCCTTAAAAAGTAAAAAAATATATACATTAAAAAAAGAAAAAAGAGACAGATGTGGCAAGAGGGGAGAAACAGAGATCAGTGTCTTCTCCAGAGTTCATTGTGGGGTGGAGAAGGAAGGAGCAGAGCCACATGGTGGGGAAACTTGTTTGCGAATGACTTTGGAACAAAGACCACCTGACAGTTAAGGAACGAAAAGGCTCCAGGACTTCCCAGGGAGCCAGGTGGACACTAGGGCAGCAGGAACGCGATCAAACCTGCAAGCACAG